GCAACCCAGCCAGATAAAAGCAGCCAACACCCACCTGGAGACACAGTCCTACAGGGAACAAGAAGATCCCAAAACAAAACCCACCACTGGGCCAAGAGGTGTGTGCAAAGCACGTGAAGAGTGTGTGAAGAACGGGTGCAGAGACTGTAAGGGCACAAAGCCCAGGGATTTGTGTGTTCTGGGACCCTGGTTGGAGACATCCAGCTCAAGCTGTTCCTATTGCTGTGTCACTGAATTATTAATTTTTCCTGGAATTGGAGACTCTGCTGCAGGGAAACCTAGGGCAAAGAAATTTCTCTAACGAGGATTTTGTTTTTTTAAAGCTGACTTCTCTTTCTTCCATAAACAGATGGTATGTGATTTCCACCCAAATTGCCAGGTTAAATTGGTACATACAAACCTAGCATCATCTCTGATGCTCCAAGTATTCACAAATATTAGCTAATCCATCTTTACACATCACAGTAGGTCTCAGTACTGCAGGCAAGGAAACAAACATTTAAGAAATTAAGTGACTTGCCAAGGTCATGTAGATCTGGAAGTCTGAAGTTAAGAGTTTAGCTAGAAAATTCAGAGATGATCTTATTCCCAGACTTGCAGATGAACTGCAAGCTATTTCTGGGGTGGAAAAAAAGCACTGAGAATTCTTTCAACAGCTCAGAATTTCCAGGACACTGCAGAGTCACAAGTGCCAGCTGATTCTGGTCTTGTTCTATAATTTTCACTAACCAAACTGGCCTCAATATGAGACCTCTTCATCTGTCTTAAATAGCATCCCAACTGGTAGTGCATACAAGCAAGTCCCTGGAAGTTTTCAGCTCTAAGCAGAACTGCTAACAAAAACCACGAAGGAACAGTTTGCACATGTAACTACTGTACGTTTGTTATGATCAGGCTGCTAAACAGAAACATCAGTTGGAATTGGATAGTTTTGGCAATAAAAGGACGGGCTCCACCAACAGATTTGTCTGTTACACTCTACTATTTTCAATATGAAAACTAACGGGATCCAAAAATTCTTTTGTAAAGCTATTGCAAGTGCCACTCCCCACATATGACTCTCTGATTATACAAAGGCTGCTGCAGAGAATCCCTTGCACTGTGCTTCCTTCCAAACCAGATCAGCCTGATGTCTAGGGAATGGGTAAGCTCACTCAAAAGTGTTAGCAACTACATCTGGTTTGTAAAATACCTCGGGAATACTGCTGGACTATTTGAATCCAAGACATCTTTTAATTAAATATATTTTTTTGTGCCAGTTGTTGCAAGATTTAATTAAAGTCTTTATTAACTCACTCCAGAAGCATTAAATAGAGAAAGCTTAGTACGAACACACCGACCAGTCCAAGCAATAGTTATCAAATATGTTACAATGGAGCCTGTAAAATCCCAAACCTCACAAAGCAACAGAAGAGAGAATTCCTATTACATAGAAACACAAACAGAAAGGGTATTAAAAGCAAACACAGTGCTATCTATCCCTTGAAGTATCAAACAAATGCATATCATCTCTCTTTCTTATAAAATATATAAAGATCCAGTGGCATACAATATACATGTCTAGCTGTAAATATTCTGGACCAAAGCCCTGTGTCTGACGGGCATTTGTTGGTAGCTTCATTTTTATTTCAACACAAGTTCTCAAATAATGTTTAGTTTGCTTTTTCTAATAAGGCTTCAACCCTATAAGAAATAGCCACAAACTCCATCTATAATAACTCAGGACTCCCCTGAGGATGATAAAAATTCCTCTTTCCTTCCTACTGAGGCAGTAAGAGGCCATAATTCCTCTCTTGGACACTCATCGTTTCAGGAAATCATTAACTGCAACTCTGACAGCCACAACAGTGACAAGTCGAGCTGCCACAAAACATTCATTAACAGTCCCTGAACTGCACCAGACCAAGCAAGAGACATTCCAGCAAATGCTTTGGAACAACAATTTTAATGTAGAAAGAACAAAACTATCACTTCCCTTAAATCAACTGAAAGCACATTTTTACATGTTTCCCATCAGCAGGCACCAAACTAAGTCAAGTTCAAGATTATATTTTCAAAACTTCCCCTATAAAGCCTTTAAAGTGAGGGCACTTGCTTTGTTTCCAATTAGACATCATGAGAGTTTACACTGACTTTCAACAGATCTAGCTGTGGCCAAAGGAAGATGGTTGACTTTGCCTTGTTTGATGCAGAGTTCTCCAGCCTCTCGCTCTGCATTTTAGATCCCAGACACCTGTTTCCATTGTAAAATATATTGCATAAAGACAAATTTAAGAATAAATCCCACTGTTACTTTGCTTTTACCATCTTCCAGATCCCTATTTGCTTTCCAGGTGCCAGGGAACTACAAGTAACATCCCGTCTGCTTTGTAAAAGGCCCCAGTGCTGAAAGCATGTTAGCTGAGCCACTGAGAAACTCAGATTATTGCATCAGAGGCCACATTTAGTCTTGTGGTAAGTGCTTTCTTTCCTCAGATTAGTGGACACTACACTCCACAGAAAAGTAGCTCAAAACTCCTGATGTGTTTTCCATGACTTATAAGAACTACTTGACTGCATATTTAATTCCATAAACTTTTCCAAGACAAAGAACAACAAGATATATTTAGGCATCTGACATAGAGGTCTCCACAAAACCATTTATAGAAGATACTAACAAAATCATAGGTTAATTTTCTAATTCCCAAACCAAGCTAACAAAATGAATCCATTTATTCTTACCTGGAAATTTGGTGCCCAGCATAAAGCAGCAGTGCAGTCAAAAAGTACAGGTAAAGCTGAACCAGGTGTTGCCTTGGTAAAGTTAGGAGCACAACGCTCAAGATGTAACCTGCAACACAAAGCAGACAACCTCAAATTTCTTAAAATATGAACCAACACTCAAAACTATTCAGATCTCTAATGCCTTTGTTTTCATTCGGCTTAAATTTCATGTACCCACATTCTCCTCTCACCAAAACACAAAGCACACAAAATACCTGCCCCTTTTTCCTTCTTTCTCCATGACCAGAAATAGGTTTACCAGCTTCTGTAAGATCACATCTACATGTCAAGAAGGGGACTTGATCCACAGTATTTTAACAAGACAATGAACATAACCTGTACAACAAAGAGAAAACAGGCCTAGGGCTCCACCTTTTTCCAAGTGAAAGCAACCTTCAGTGCAGCAGGGAAAAAAGCCTATCCAATCATAAAATTCAGTCCATTGATGTAAAATATCCTTTTCCTCAAACACAAGACACACAGAACACTTTTTCACACTGATTAGCATTACACATTTAATTCTTCCACTGTATCTTTATGGCTTGAAGACTCTTTGCATGTGCATTATTTGAGATCGGGACACACAGGTTGTACCTCATACTAGTAATATTAATCACTGCTGCATAAATCAAGAATAAGAATTGGCACAGCGTAGGATTTGCAGGCATTTATACCAGCAGTTCCTGCACTTCTTGTTAGCATTTAGGGAGACTGTGGAAAAACACACGATGTGGGTACTGCTTTACTCTGACCATGGCAACTCAGCACTCTCCAACAAGCAGAACACTGATCTTTTATCATGCCTGCTCTCATTTGGATACTCAAAGCAGTACTTTGAAGTCTACTTCATAAGGGGGTGGTACCTGTCCATACTCTTTCCCAGGCTGCAGGTCAAAACCCCAGCACATGGTGCCCTTACTAATCTTTATTTCCGAGCTCTCCATCACAATGCAGTACACTCATGCTGCGTCTGAAGGTCAGCTCAAGTGCCTGGCACTGAAATCCATTTAGGAAAACAACCCAGCAACAGCCAAGAACTCCCCTGAAGCTAAGAACAGAATGCTATAGAACTTACCCTGACCCTTACAGCTACACTAGTCATGTTACATTTACAGTTTCATCCATCTATGCAGCAACATGAGGCACAGTCTTTTTTTCTGAGTTAATTTATACCTTGAGCTTTTTAAATCATGCAACTCTAGATTAGGCACTCATGAGCAGTGGCATAACCAGCTACTATAAAGCAGCTTGGGAACACAGCATGTTCCAGTATTTGAAAAAGATACTATGTCAGAGTCAGTATTTATGTAGAAGTACTTGAAGGCTGCTTAGTACCTGCCATGTTCAATAAGCCACCTCTGTAAAATTCTACCAACAGCTCAGGTCTTCAAAAAAGTATCCTGCAAGATGCTCCTAGAAAAGGCATCAGACCCACAGGATGCCAAGCAGAGAATTCGGGTAAGACAGATGACAGAAGCGACGATAAGACAGACAAAACCTATTTACTTACCTTTTTTAAATACCAATATATAATTTATGTATTTAACATTAAAGATAATTTTTCAAGTACCTTCATGAAGTGGATATGACAAGTTGCACATTTGTCTGAGGATGTGCCTTTTCAAAAGCTGAAAAAATTGATAGTTTCTTTTATTAAAATGAATTATCATACCAGTCACTAGTTTCTGTACAGTATCACTTTGACCAGAGGGCTGGAGCACCTCTCCTTTGGAGAAGAGAAGGCTCTGGGAAGGCCTCACTGTAGCCTTTCAGTATTTAAAGCGGGATTATAAGAAAGATGGGGACAGACTTCATAATAGTACCAGTAGTGGCAGGACCAGGAGTATTGGTTCCAAACTAAAAAAGGGTTGATTTAGATGAGATACAAGAAAGAACTAAGTGTGGTGACACACTGGAACAAGTTGACCAGAAAGGTTGTGGATGCCCCACCTCTAGAAACATTCAAGGTCATGCTGGAGGGGTTCTGAGCAAGCTGATCAGCTGCAGATGTCCCTGCACTCATTGCAAAGGCGTTAGAACAAATGACCTTTAAAGGTCCCTCCCAACCCAAACCATCCCATGGTTCTATAATTTTTATTTGAAGCTTTTTTTAAGGGGGCTTGAAATACAGCACTACAGGTTTCCTTCTAGCAACTGTTTTATACAGAATAACATGCTTCCAGTGAACCAAGCAGAGCAGATGTTCTACATTATCGGTTTTCTTAGCAAATACCTGTATTTTATGGAAATCTTGTTCTTTGTTCACCACCTTTCTTCTACCAAATACACAAATGACAAGAGAAGGAACTCCTCAGCAGAGTCTCCATGAAGACATTTAACAAGCTGCAGCACACCAGAGCCTCATGAGCTGGATCCAGCAGCTCTCACACCATCCCCTGACATTCTTCCACCTCATCTCTGCTGCATTCAACCCCTTCCCTCGATTTCTTACTGAGGGACAATTCTCCCTGCGAAACAACCCACAGCCATTTATCATTCCAGCACGTGAGTCAAATCTCTCTAAACCTTTCCTTCTCACTGTAGCCCGTGACTCACCTTCAGGTGAAGAACTAAGTGGAGTTTATTATGCAGTCTTTTATTCCTCAATTATTCTATAAATAGTCTTAGAATATCTGTTTACTGTATCTGTATTTAAGCTCTGCCATCTTCTTTACCTTATTCTATCACATGAAAGGCTGCTCCTTGGCCACATGATGATGTACCTGAGTGATGGCAGGATCATTTCTGTAAGACATTTTAGAGGGCAGCAACTGCACTCTAACACAGACAAGTTAGATGGAAGGATTTCAGAGGTCACTGAAGTTCATTCTTCTCTACATGATCACAACTTTAACCAAAATAGTTAGGATCCTTCAGGCTACACCAGAAGGAGTGGAAAAACAAACAAACAAACAAAAAAGATAAAGTCTAAATACAAATCAGAAGATGAGAAGACTACAGTCACTTCTAACCAGCTTCCAGACAGCACAGATGCTCATAATGCTGTGCAGGGAAGCAGCACAAGACAGCCAAGGTTACTGCAGAAGCTTGAGCAATGAACTCCACCACTCACGAGTTTGGGTCGGAATTTAAATGTTCACTTTGAAGCAGCCATTTGGTCTAATTGGTAGATTTTGAAGAGGGGGAGAGCAACAGACATTTACACTAGTCCCCATTCACTCTTATTTACAATTCCCTCTTGTGCCTTGATAAGAGGGAGATTTCAACACACTTCATACTGCAATATTTGCATTTTTACTGCAGAGGCCCTATTCCCAAAGTGGTACCAACCTCATTTTTATCGACAACGCCTCTGCCAAAAAAAAAAAAGGAAAATAATTCATTACCAAACCATCTTATTGCAGAAGAAAAGGAAGACAAGCTCAAATTCAGTAATATTCTATTACCTTTGTTCTCACTCAGACAAATGGTGTAATTAGTGTATGGCATAAACAAGATTCCACTTTAAAAAAAAAAGGACCAGGAAATGAAATTTCTCACAACAGCTTTCTCATCCAAATCGTTACATTCTGTTTTCATTTGCACCTCCTCTGTCAGAAGAAATCACGATGCTGAGAGAGTCCCCCCACGAAAGGATTTACAGACTGAGAAACAGTCGCTTTGCTGGGCAGCCTTTAGACAGGGGTTAAAAGTAACTAAAGCTCCCTTCCACCCAAAGCTCTCTGAGCTCTGTGTCTGCAGTGAGCACTCTGCTCCCTTCATTTAGGCTGTGCTATTTTTGCTCTTGGGACTTGGTGTATTGTCTCTTTTAACTCACCAAGTACATCTCTGCTTAAGGGTAAGCAGCAGGCTCAGAGAAGCACAATTCCTGCCTCAGTAAAGAAACGGGTTTAACACATGTTAAAAAAGGAAAAAGGCAAGACAGAATAATCTCCTTCCTGAATATAGTCATAGTACCCTGCTGCCAGGCCACCAAGATAGAGACTTACTCCTTCAGGCTTCCAGCTCTAAGGAGCACTACAGCAGACACATTCTGCCAACCTTAAAAATGCACAGATCCCCCACTCAGATCCTACTCAGGAGCACAAGGAAGCAGAGAATTTCTGCTGCCTCTTGTGAAAGATGGTGCAGATTTAGGCCCCACCAGAGAAAATAAACTGTGAAAATAATACTAAGCAGAAAAGCAAAGTTAAACCTTGCTGGACAAGAACACATGTATTAACTGGCTCACGACCTCATTTACAACTTGTTGATTCAGCTCAGTGAAAACCTCTGGCTGTGCAATGCTCATTGTTACTGTGAGCAGCAGCTCAAACATTGCCTTTCAGCAATCCCCCTCCATTTGTGCACCACCAAGGTGTTTCCCAGCTTCTCTCACCCAAATTACCTCTTTGCCAACTCAGGAGTCTGAAGTTTATTGACTGCACACAGCAGAGGCTTCTGGAGTGTGATCAAAGTCGCAACTCATCCTCTTTATTAAACACTTTAGTGCTCATTTGCATGATTACAGATCCCTTGCGTCCACTTCACATTATTACTCAAAAGTTTCCTGCACATTTAGTCTAAAAATGAGAACTTTGCACATCAAAGAGTTTATAACGTTTCTTAATAAAGCCACACCAACTCTTACAGTGCCAGAAAGTAAGAGTACAATTAATTGGATTCTACTGGAAAAGAATTTGGGGGGCCCTAACTTCCACTTGCCCATATCCTGTGAGGATAAAGGGTCCATCTTATCATGACTTGCACAGTCACGCTGCTGTGAAGCAGCAAGTCTTGAGCCACAGACACCACCACAACACCCGTCTCTCCTGGCTCAATGCAGGATCAGTGCACTACTGAGATAGTCACTTCATTTCAGCCAAATCCTTCACTGTCCCCATTTCAGTTTATTCAGACTGGCCACAACATGAAAGTACCATGACACACTTCTGAAAGACTGTATTTGAGCTGGCAGAAGTATTATAACAACAGCTGGTACCTTTATTTTCAGTGTGTCTAATTCTTAGGACAACCAATCACTAGATTGGTTAGACTACAATTTACATAGAGATTTAATAAACTTTCAATGTGCACATCATCTGTCTCAAGAGTGGATGATGTTTA